CAGCAGAGTTCAGGACGTGAGTGGTACCACCTTATTTGGCCATCGTCTCTTGTTTTGAGTTTCTGGTAAATCAACGGTGACAAGGAGTACCTGCAAGCATAGACCCTGCTCCAAGCCTGCAAGGTTTGACCGTTTTGGATATGGCCCTATCTATATGGCAACTGGTGTTTAACAAAATCGACTTGCAACATTTTTTGTAGTGAGCCCCATGCCTAGGGACAGGTTCCACATCATGGGGGATGTCCAAGAAAGTGAAGGAGAAGACCCCACAAGAAGACCATTCACTCAACCTCTCAGTACTTTTGCAGGACAATATGGCACATGGCTCTCTACCCAAACAATCCAGAACAGACTGCACACAGCAATCTCCAGTCTCATAAGGCTAGAGATTGCCGTCAAAGCCTATGAGACTGGCCTTCTCTTTCAGACCCGTTCGCACAGGTGTCTGCAACATGTGCACTAGAACCTGAACGTTTGGAGGGACGTCATGTTCAGTCATGAGTCTATATTCTGTGTACAACAGGTGGATTGTAGGGTCAAAGTGTGGAGAAGATACCATAAAGTAACAGCTTTTGATGATGATAGTATAGGGCAGCATGTCCCTTGCTGGAAAAATAAGGCTTGTCATCACTGGAAGCCTGACCTCAACCCAGCAGAACACTTGTGGGATCAGCTTGTGTGTGCTGTTTGTGCCAGAGTTCTTCCACATGCTACTGAAGCTCCTGTTTGTTAAATGAAAGAACTGATGACTTGCCAAAATGTCTTGGTTTTTACAGATCTCAATAATCCAGTGCAATAAGCGACACCAAACAAGAGTCAAAAACAACATACGCTTTTTGGCACTGTCAGAGTTTTTTTTAATGGTGGGATGGTTGAGTATGTGGGTTAATGAAATACTCAATTTTACTGCTCAACTCATAAATACATCTCCCTTAAAAATGGAGCAAATAAATAGGCTTTCCAGTGGTATAAGATTTAAAGCCAAGAAATGTTACAACAAAGAAATAATTCACTAAAGTCCTTTTTCTGATTATTATATATATATATATATATATATATATATATGTGAGTGTCCTGCTTTTGTTCCTACTACTAGTTTTCTAGTTATTGGTGCTTTCAATTTTAAGTCAGTGGGTGCCTGTTAAACTGAATTGTTCCATTAACCAAACTCTGGTGAAATATCAGATAGACACAGAGCAGTGTGGGAAAATTCTCATAGACATCATATACTTGAACATATTAAAAAACAAATTAAATCAGAATCAGAATTAGCATACTTTATTTTTCCCTAAGGAAATTAAATGGGTTACAGTTGCTCCAGTACAGTAACAGAAACAGACTAGACTATTTAACAATACAATATGTTACAGGTTTAAGAAATAGCACAATATATACAAATCACTGAATAATAAATATCAAGGATTGACAGAGGTGAAACTGTAACAGGCTGCATGCTGGTTGATGCATGTGCACTGGAAGTGTGAGTGGAAATGACATTTGGGCGTCTGTTAGTATAGCATGCTCAAGTCTGTGCATTAAACACTGAAGTCCATTAATAATGGCTTATATGAATAGAAGTCCTGCTGTACATGCTTATAGCAATACTTTAAAAAAAATAACAGCGTCAGCTTTGATCTGCAGTTGCTAAGGGAGTCCAAGTCTGCTCCTGTTAACCAAGAAAATGCACCCAGAGAGGATGTTGCTTATTCATGTGCCTCAACAATAAGTCTGAATAATAAGAGTGCGCCTCTCCCCTGTCTCCACAGCAGACCTGTCACTCCTGCTTCACTGGGCTCATTTATATGTGACAATGTGTATTTGCATGGCTGTGGTATCTGTTCCTGAGTCAGACCTTTAGTACAAAGAAGGAAGGAAATAAATGGGGTTAGAACAAGCTGTGGATGCACACACACTAAGGTAGAAGAGCAAGCTGGAATCAATAGCCTAATACATGAAAAGCCACTGACTCTGTTGCTGATGCAGAAAGGGAGACGTAACAGAGATTATCTTGGCTTGATAATGACAACACGATCTTACTAAAATCAATGGAGCATATGACACTGCTGCAGCTTAACTAGACGGAAATGTGCTTTGCACTTACCAAAGCTCATTTTGAATCAATACACATTATAAGTCTCTCTCTAACCGGAGGTCTGGCAACAGTTTTTGATCATACAAATCTGCAATAAAGGGTCAAAACAGATGGGAGAAAGAAAAACAGGAGCTGGAAGATGAGTTCCTCACTACTCAATTCAGCCGGTCACGTCAATTAAGATGTGAACTTGTACAATTCCAGCAGTTCACATTCAGCTCCGGGGTCTTATCTAAAATTAAAAAAGTCCCCTTTTCCACGGCTTTGAAGTTTTTCTAAGCCACTCAAATAGTTCCATTCGCAGAATGTGGAAGCTAAAGGAAGCTTTGATTTTTGGAGTCAGCTTTGCCTGTCACTTTGTGTTACATGCTGGCTGATCTTAAGGCTAAAATGGAGCGACATTACCATGCTGTCAGCCTTTTCTCACCACTCAGTTTCAGTCACTGATTTACCCATTATTGACTACTACACAACTCAAGTGATTGGCAAACACTGTAGAGGATGGTATTGCACAGGGAAATTAGACTTTGTGCTGCTTATGCATTATTGTTTGATGTTATGGTTTTTATTTGGACAGCCACTAGTTCTAAATGTAATTTTTAGTTTTAATGACATGCAGGAATTCAAAAGCATAGGGGTGTATTTCACAAAGTTAGATTAGCTCTTCTTAGGAGCTAGAAAATACAAATGTGGGTAAGAATCAAAGGAGGCCTACACCAATTTATTTGTTGGGCACTGGAGAGTACTACTGCATAGGTGAAAATTTTCCCCTTTACTTCTTAAAAACCAGCTGGCTATTAGCAGCATCTAGGAATAGGCTTACACAAATCAGTCCAGCTGTGATCATTCAATGTATGCAATGAAAACTGAAGGAATTTCATTTACAGCAAAATTTAGTGTCACAAAGTATTCAACCAAATTGAACTTGAAAATTGAATGATTTTGATGAAATCATGAACTATTAGACATTGGTGTGATGTTATTAAGATCATCCTTGAGTAGAAATTAACACTATTGTCAAATGCAGTATTCTGAATACTTTGGATTACTTAATATATTGTCATCCATTTTACAACTACATCAATGTACTATTGCTGTGTAATTTATTACTATTACTGAAAGCTACTCACCATACAAATACCAACTAGATTTTTAAATCTTTAAAAGAACCCCAGTTATTAAGACATGTTAAGACAAATATGCCAGATGTTTTCCTTTTAAGCACATTTTATATAAAACCGATTTACTAGTAGGCCGCCATAGTTATTTACCTAGCACTGCACTCTGCGTAGTAACATCATACGGTTGCACCGCATCATGTTTACAGTAAGCAGCACATGTCGATGGCTTCTGTTCAACCTTTCCAGTTTGAACCAGAGCAAACCGAGAAAGAGGATGAAAATAGTCATCCAGTACTTAGTTTAGATGAAGATGAAAACAATTGTGGGCTTCAGATCCTGGCTTTAACCAAAGCTTGCATCCCTGGACTGTGTCATCAAGGGGGTTATGGGCACATTGGTGATAATATTTGTAAATAAAGTCTGCTACTGTTATTGTTTACCATCATCCAGGAAATTGTCTAGCGTCTCTTTGTCTTTGCATTTCTTAGCGTGGTGGCACGGTCACCTTATGGGGAAAAATTTTCGAGACTGCATTTGGTTTCAGTCTTCGCTTATAACCAGATGCACGTGTGACCTCTTTTAGCAACTGTGGTCGACTAAATGCCTTGAACGAATCAGGGCTAAAATGACAAGCCTTGGGTCTTGTGGGAGTTGTACTCTACCGCAAGCATCCACCCATTGCTTTATTCTTTTTTTCTCATGAGGAAAGCTGTGCAGACTTACATCTGTTCCTTTGTTGCCTTTCAACAGGAAATTACAACAAAAAGCTGCATAATGCGGCATGGCAGTTCCTCTCCTGCAACAACAGGTTAGCAGAATGAAAGCGCCTATACTGCCGACAACCTATATATATGTCATCGTCCCAGAATGCACAGAGTGCGCAAAAACATGACCACTCTCACGGCTCCAAAATAGTTTCAAACAACAAAGATTTAATGAATAACAAAAACACTGTAGTTATTCTCAAGTATGTTTTTATGTAGTGGAGCTAATTTGTAATATATTTAGAGTAACTTGTCATAATAGTCGGGGTTCCTGTTAATATAAAATGAGTAACAGTAGGGTGGACATTAGGTAAGGCTGCACTTTTTTGCAGTGATCTCGTATGGAAAACTATTTCTGTAGCAGTAATATGTTTTCTTTTTGTCTGTTAATAATCATGTGGATGATTATTGATTATTTGCAGCTACTAGGTTGTTAATGCTATCCATCATGTCTAAAAATAGCATGTTAATACGTGGAGATCCCGAAGGCTGCTCTAAAAATGATCAGATTATATTTTAAATATTTGTTCAATTCAAATTAGTTTCAATTATCTTTTTTTTTCTTCAAGAAATCTACTACATCATGTATAATTTTTTTAATCCATCCATCCATTTGCTTCCGCTTCTCAGGGTCGCGGGGGGCGCTGGAGCCTATCCCAGCTGTCATAGGGCGAGAGGCAGGGTACACCCTGGACAGGTCGCCAGTCTGTCGCAGGGCCAACACACAGGGACAGACAACCATTCGCGCTCATATTCACTCGCACATTCACACCTAATGGCAATTTGGATTTTCCAATTAACCTATCCCCACAAGCTGCATGTCTTTGGACAGTGGGAGGAAGCCGGAGTACCCGGAGGGAACCCACACAAACACGGGGAGAACATGCAAACTCCACACAGAAAGACCCTGTCCTGAGGTTGGAATTGAACTCAGGACCTTCTTGCTGTGCGGCAACAGTGCTAACCACCATGCCACCATGTTGCCTTAATTTAAAACTCATTTCATTCAAGCTGAGGAAAGAAATGGTCCTTCTCCAAAGACTCCAGCATCTGAACATCATTAAGCTGAAGGAGGAAGAGAAGGAGAGGCCGAAAGAGTCAAAGTCAATCTGGAGCAGGGGAACCCTCTCCAGATGATCCAGCTGTTCCAGAGCCCCTGGGTGGACAGATTCAGAGTCTGTCTGGACCTGGTCCTGCTCCGCCGTGGCCCTTTGGACTTCCAGCCTCGGCAGTTTGTCACAGTGTCCGGCTCGCTGAAGCTCACGGACCTGGATGATGCCAGCGCGGAGGAGACCACCTGTCACACAGACGCAGACTGTACTCTCCAGTTTCCACACAGAAACTTTACTCTGCCCTGCTCAGCTTGGGGTGTGTGTGAGGGGCTAAACGAGAAGAGGAACATTTACAACGCCTACAGGTATTTTTTCACCTACCTGCTGCCTCACCAGGCCCCGCCCGGCCTCACACACCTGGTAGACCGCATCATGAATGCCACAGGGGAGCTGAAAGCTGACATCAATCAGACGCTGGAGGCCTTTGAACACATCCTCCACCTCTATTAGTCTGACCTACACCTGGAGAACCTGTCTCCATCAATAATCAGAGATCACACTGTGATGCGAGGGATGGGCACTTCTGGGAACGTGGAGTACCGCTGCTGGCCATCCTACAGCCAGCAGGGCTGCGTGCTGTCAGTCCACAGTGCCCGAGAGGCAGCGTGCATCTGTAACTCCCACTCTTAGTGCAACAGCTTCACTCTGACGGGGCAGAAGACTTGGACGGGCCGCCTCCTAGCCTCTTTCAGGAGTGGCTTCAGTCACCTGGTGCCTGATGGGACATCAGAAGTTTATGTAAAGAAGACAAAAGTTGTTGAAAAATCAAGCGCCTGACGTCCGAGCGGGTTTCTGTCGAAATGGGAGTTACCAAGAGATGGCACACAGCGGGGCGATGGGAACTGATGCAAGACGTGGCACTCGAGAACCGCGCCCTCCTGTTTAACAAGTAGAACGCAGCACAGCTCTGTGGATCTGCAGGAGCAGTGTGGAGACCAGGCTGACGAGGAGGCGTTTGAAGCCAACAACTGAATGTGATGTATGCTTTTAATAGTCCCTAAGGACCCCAAAACGCTTTGCATATCCAGTCATCTACCCATTCACACACACATTCACACATTGGTGATGGCAAGCTACATTATAGCCACAGCCACCCTGGCGCACTGACAGAGGCGAGGCTGCCGGACACTGGCGCCACCGGGCCCTCTGACCACCACCAGTAGGCAACGGGTAAAGTGTCTTGCCCAAGGACACAACGACCGAGACTCTCCAAGCTGGGGCTCGAACCGGCAACCTTCCGATTACAGGGCGAACTCCTAACTCTTGAGCCACGATCACCCCGGAAAACAGAGTTTATTACAGAGAAATGGCTCTTTCTAAATTAAAAGCTATACTATACGCTTCTTCTGGGCTATATTCTCAGCAGCATATTAAACATATCAGGTCCCCATAAGGAGAATCATGTGCTAACGGCTGTCTAAACGACTCGGGTAAAGTTTGTAGCATGCGTGCTTGTTGCTTTTGCCTGCTTCCACTTGTCTTTGCACTAGGATGATGTCAGCGTACATGTGCAGTCATATTCGTTGTGTTCCCACTAGTGCTGTCAGCGTTAATCTCGTTGAAATGACGTTAACGCCACAACACGGCAAATCTCTGTTAACGAGATAACTGCACTCACGCACTAGTTCCCACCAATGTAATTGAGCATTGGGTGGCACATCCGACATACTGTTTTACTTTTGTCCATGACACGCTTACCTTCAGGGTCATACGTCACATGAAAACCAAAATAGTTCCAAACGCCAGATCTGAATGAGGGTGGGGAAGGTCCAATTTGCCATGTTGCAAGGAGAGCTTAACTTCTGTCTCGCTAACTTGCCCTGCGCTCAGTGAATCTGGGTTCGATCCACTGAGCACTCAACACAGACAGCATCGTCAGACGGAAAGTTGATAAAATAAATTTAAAATTTTGTATTGTTCGATACATATGCGTACCGAACCGAAAGCACTGTATCAAACGGTTCAATATCGATACGAGTATCGTTGCACCCCTAATAAATACCTACATAAATCAACAATCCTCTTGTGGTGTGTGTTTGTCTTTGTTATGAAGTGTACTTGTCAATGAGGATGGGAAGCTGCAATAACATCCCCCACGAGCCAGAGGCAGGCAGAGATAGATCTGGTGAAACCAGGCCATCTATAGCCCCCAAGAGTACTGAAGACCTAAGAGGACAGGCAGCCAATCCCGCTGGAGACCAGGCTCCTCAGTGCAAGCTGAGGTCAGGGTCCCAGGGGCTCCAGGTGCCCAGAAAAGCTGGCAGTATCTGCCCCCCCCCCCGCTTTCAGACAGTTGACTTACTTGTGGTTCATAGGGTTTTTAAAAGTACAATGTGAGGCAAAGTACTCTGTTAGGGTCATGAGGTCTTTAAGATAAGATGGGGCCTGAATATACAAAACCTTGTATGTGAAAATTCTGGATTTAACAGGGACCAATGAAGAGAAGCCAATAGGGGAGACATCTATTCTATACATCTAATACTGTATAGACCTCATAATGCTAAATTATATTCAGTTTTAAATTTTACAGAGTTATATCGTGAATGTTTGATGTGGAAGAAAGAGTCGGGTACAGTGCTCAGATTCTGCACTGAGTGGAATTAGCAGAAGTGAAAACCTCTACTATTTTTTTCAGGGAGGCCATACACTATGATGACTGTTTGCCATTATGTTGCCATTCAAAATTATGGTATTCTCTTAATGATGAATGCTGCTTCATCCATAAACGAGGAAGGGACCATCAAAAATGCAAGACTTACTAAATAATTTTATTTCCTGTATGTTAGCTGTGAGGTGATCCAGCATGGTACTGTGCCACTCTCTGACTACTACTTAGCCTGCTTTTGGAGGAGATTTTAGATATGATTGACAAAAATTTGGATGTATTTGATATGCATCATTCTGGTTGAAACACTGCGAATGTCTTCTTAGGTTCCAAGAGAAATGTTTCTGGCAGAGCTCCTTCCGTGCAACACACAGCTTGGGCAGACAGAGTTATGGGCAGCCAGCTAAACCCAGACACCCAGAGTAAATAGCATTTGTGATGGGATATTAGCCTGAGCTGTTCTCTCATTTGGAGTGTCTGTCTCATTTCATGCTGACATCTAAGAGCTCAGGAGGTGTATTTTCAGGCAGTAAGCATCCACTTTAAACCGCTGGATCTAATCACTTCTGGCATCTGTCAGTCACACTCTGATAATGTGTAATGGCATCTGGTGTGAATATGCAGGTAATGGCCTCAGTAAATGAATGCAAGGTAACCTTTACCCCACTGGAGAGCCACAAAAAGCAATCAGAGGTGGCATGGAGGACTTGCTAATGATATTTGCGGCTACTCAAACAGACACAGTAATGGGCTCTTTATATGCTCTGACAGAAACTGGCACAAAATGTGGATGAGCCCTCTGTGGTTCCTTGTCACAGCTAATGTCAGAGGTTGGAATTTATGTATGAATATTTAAGGACAAACATGTAGACAATAAACAATGAACAAGAAGTCTGTAAGGAATGTTCCATTTTTTTTTTACTCCAAAGCTCAAAGTAAGGCAAGTAAGTATTTTTCAGGGCAAATCCAACCTAAAATTGAATCCATATAAAGTATGTGTTTATAGAATCCATATAGAGTTTTAAATCACTTCATTTTAGTATGTCATTTATACATTTTTTAAATAAATTGTTATTTAGTAGCTGTTATTGGTTCATGGTATCATTTTGAAAATTTAGTTTCAATGTAATGTTTTAATTGAATTTTATATAAATGATATCAAATCACAACAACAATCACCTCACAACTGTATACTGTAATGTAAAGACCCTAAAATAATAGAGGGAAACTATCAAACAACCCCCTTTCACCAAGATTTAACAGACAGTGGGAAGGAAAAACTTCCGTTTAACAGGAAAAATCGTAGGCAGAACCAGGCTCAGGGTGGGGCAGCCATCTGCTCCGACTGGTTGGGGGTGATTTGAGAAAGACACATTGTGTAAGAGATCAATATTAAATAATTATTAAATGCAGAATAGTGTATAAACACATAGTGAATGAATCATGGGAAGACCCCAGCATACTAGACATAAGGAAAGAGAGGTTTGAACCTGATCATGCCCCAGACTGTGTAAATGATTCATCTTTAGCTACTATTGCATATTTCTGCCTTAACCTGAATGGCAATTTTTTTTTCATGTCACATTTTACTTAAAGCTACACTATATTGCCATATGTCTTTGCTTGAACTCAAGAAACAAAGTCAAGAATTTAAACTAAAGTTTTAAAATAGGCATTAACAGTTTAATATAATAGATACTTTGTTTGTGGTTGTACTTGTTTGTGAAGTTGTCTGAAATACTCACTACTGTTTTTAGAACATTGTTTGATTTTTAATCTTTGTTATTTTTTTCATGATGACATTTCAGTATACACCGCTCAAAAAAATTAAAGGCACACTTCGAAAAGATCTCAGTGGGGAAAACAATCATGCCGGGCATCTATACCAATATGAACTAGGTAATGTGTTAGGAATAAAAGGATGCCACGTCATTTTGATGCACAGGTTGAGGGCCAAATTCAAAAACACCCCAAAATTCACAGTGAAAAAAGGATGCACAGGCTAGTCCAATTTCATGCCAACAACTCAAAATGCTACTCAGAGTTGCCTGACTGTAGAGGTCTATGCTTCCCCACACCATCACTGACCCCCCCACCAAACCAGTCATACTGAACAATGTTACAGGGAGTATCATGCTTTCCAAAGCTTTTTTAGACTCTTTCAGATCTGTCATGTTCTCGGGGTGAACCTGCTTTCATCTGTGAAAAGCACAGGGCATCAGTGGTGGACCTGCTAATTCTGTGCACTGTAGAAGTAGCAGATACAGGTCCTGCCGATGGGTTAAGGATCTTCTATGGCCCGATCCAGCTCTCCAAGAGTAACTACCTGTCTCCTGGAATCTCCTGAATGCTCCTGAGACTATGCTGGAAGACACAGCAAACTTTCAGACAATGTCACGTATTGATTTGGCATCCTGGAGGAGTTGGACTACTTGTGGAATCTCTGCAGTTATCACCTCATGCTATCAGTTGTGACACTGATTCTAGCCAAATGTAGAACTAGTGAAAATGATTAACAACCCCATATGCTACTTAACTGACCAGATCAATGTCTCACAAGTTTAACAGACTTGATGCCAGTCTTATGTCCCATGAAGTTTTTTTTGAGCAGTATATTTAAGTTAAAGTACCCTGTGGCTCCAATCGCTCACTGTGACGCTTTCTCTTTTAAACCCTTGTAAAATTCACACTCTAGTTCTGCACCTTTTCAGTTATGTTTATGTCTTGCAATACATATTTATATGTTCTGCATCATTTTGTGCTTTGTCTCTTCCCTTCTTTTACTGTAAAAATAGCTGAAACTTGTTCGAGTCTCAGTTCTGGTGGCATTTTAGTTTCCTTTTGTAAATGCTTTGTAGGATATAGATGATTCTCATTTTTAATAAAGCCACAGAAAAAAGTGAACTAACAACTAGTTACCATCTAAATTAACCCCAAATTAGAATATGAAATAGTTATAAAACCTTTATTAATACAACTAGCTCATTTCAAACGTGCCTTTAAATGCTTTATTAATCATTTACATAGACTTTTTAAAATTATATCATGAACCGTTAACAACTCCCAAATAAATTCTACAAAACTATTTGGTAGCATTTTATTGTAATGTCACACCATTAAACATTAGTGAGGTATCAGCGAGGGCTCCTCCTTAGTATGCCATTTATAAATACAGATATGTTTTTCCATCTGTTACTGTTA